CATCTGAATAACTATTTACTTCAAGGTTGTCTGTTCTTTGATAAGTAAGCATGCAATCCTTAGAGCCTTGTAAATATTGCAACACTTTCTTAACTGCTTTCCAATGATCAATTCCAAGATTGCTTTGGTATCGACCAAGCATACCAACTACAAATGCTATGTCAGGACGTGTACAAACTTGAGTATACATAATGCTCCCAACTACAGAGGCATAAGGAATTTCTTTCATTTGTTCCCTTTCTAAATTATTTCTGGGACACTAAAATTCAGTAAATTTATCACCCTTAACTATAGGGGCAATACTACTTGAACAGTTCTGTATGTTGAAACTTTTAAAAACCTTTTCGATATAGGCTCTTTGAGACAATCCTAAAATACCAAGAGACCTATCTCGGTGAATTTCTATCCCAATGACAAAAGAGGCTTCACCAAGATCTTTCATTTCAAAATTCCTCGTAAGGAATTGCTTTGTCTCCTATATCATTCCCAAATTATTGCTAGCAAGCAATATATCATCAACATACAAAACTATAATGCAGATGTTGCTCCCACTGATTTTAAGGTAGACACATTGATCAACCATATTATCCTTAAAATCAAATTTGGTGATAACTTCATGAAATTTAAGATACCATTGTCGAGATGCCTACAAACCATATTTTCCTTGCTTCCATCCTGAAAACCTTCAGGTTGGTCCATGTAGACCACTTCATGCAAGTCACCATTTAAAAATGTTGTTTTAACGTCCATTTAATGTAACTGTAAGTCATAATGAGCTACTAAGGCCATGACTATTCTCAAGGAATCCTTATTAGAAACAGGAGAATAAGTTTTCTTATAGTCCATCCCTTCTCTTTGAGTGTATCCTTTAGCAACTAATCTGGTCTTATATCTTTCGATATTGCCTTCAGGATCACGCTTGGTTTTAAAAACCCATTTGCATCCACCAGTTTGGCTTCCTTAAGCAATTCTACAAGATCTCAGACATTGTTTTCTTTCATGGATTTTAACTCATCTTTCATGGCATTTAACCATTGAGATTTTCATTATTCATGGCTTGGGCATAAGAAATAGGATCATTCTCCAAGCCTATATCACACTCATTTAGGTAAACCTCATAGTCATCTGATATGGCTGATTTCTTTTCTCTTTGTGATCTGCATAAAGGTTATTCTGTAGCTGGGACAACTTCTTTTTCAATGTGAGAAATCTCTTGAATACCAATAGGTTCAGGTACTTCATTTTCTTGGATAATCGTGGAAGGCGTAAAAGCACGATTTTTCTCCAAAGAACATTTTTGAGATTCATACTCCCACTAATGTCTTCATCCTCTAAGAACACAACATTTCTACTTTCAACAATTCTTGTGCTATGAGTGGGACAATAGAATCTAAAACCCTTTGATCTCTCATGATATCCAATGAAATAACAACTTATAGTCCTAGTGTCTAATTTCTTTATTTGTGGGTTGAAGATTTTTGCTGCAGCAGGACAATCCCATACATGTAAATAATTCAAATTAGGTTTCCTACCAACCCACAACTCATAAGGAGTTACAAGCGTAGCCTTACTAGGAACCCTATTAAGAACATGTACAACAATTTTTAAAGCTTCACCTCACAAGTAATCTGGCAAAGAAGAGTTACTCATCATGCTTCTCATCATGTCCAAAAGAATATGGTTTCATCGCTCAGCTACATCATTTTGCTCAAGTGTACCGGGCATTGTGTATTTAGCAACAATACCATTTTCAGCTAAAAATAAAGCAAAATGACTTGGATTTTGACCCAACTCAATGAATCTACCATAATATTCACCGCCTTTATCAGATCTTACATTTTTAATCCGTCTGCCAAGTTGATTTTCAACTTCAGCTCTATAAAGTTCGAACATATCCAGTGCTTTTGATCTTTCATGAATAAGATACACATAAGTATACCTAGAAAATTCATCAATAAAAGTAACAAAATATTTATATCCAGAAATATTTGGAACAGTAAAGGGACTACATATATCAGTATGAATTATGTCTAATAATTCAGTAGTCCTGGTAGCACTCTTTTTCTTTGTCTTTGTGTATTTTCCTTTAATGCAATTCACACAAATACTAAAATCAAAAAAATCAAGTGAACTTAAAATTCCATCTTTAATAAGATATTCCATCATTTCTCTTAATATGTGGCCCAAGCGCTTATGCCATAACATGGATGAATTTTCATTCACTCGCTTTCTCTTTTTATTTACCAAGTCGTTTACATGAAAGGATAAAAGAGATTGTGCATAAGTGGAATCTAAATTCAATGAATAAAGATTACCATATAAAGTACCAGAACCAATCATATGAGAATTGTGGAATAAAGAGACTCTATTATTTCCAAACTTAAATTCATAGCCACATGAATCAAGTTGTGAAACAGAAATTAGGTTTTTAGTAAAAACAGGAATATAAACTGTGTTTACTTCTAAAATGAAACCAGAGTCTAAAATTAAACGGAGGGTGCCAATAGCCTCAGTGTCCACTTGTATTCCATTCCCGACCATAATGGTTCGTTCTCCTTTATTTAGTTTCCAACTTGTAAGGTATCCCTATATGGAATTTGTTATGTGAATACTTGCACCATTGTCAATCCACTAGGAATTTGGTGGGACATCTACCAAAAAGGATTTATAAGACACAAAGCATTAAGTGTTACTTTTCTTGTCTAGCCAACCTTTAAAACTTGGACAATCTTTTCTTATGTGACCTTTCTTTGGAGAGAAATGGCATCGAATCTTATTTTCTTCATTAGTCTTGTGAGTTTCATCATTTGCATTCTTCTTCTTCTTATTTTTGCCTTTCTTGAAAATCTTTTTGGTTGGACCCAAGGTGGTAAGGTGAGCATATCAAGCTTTTCAGCTTTATGCCTCTCTTCTTCTTGAACACACATGGCAATTAACTCGCTTATCTTCCACTTATTTTTCTGCGTATTATAATTGATCTTGAAAGGACCAAATTGCACAAGAAGAGAAGTCATAATGAAATGAACAAGAAAACCTTTAGAAATTTCCATGTCCATTCCCTTTAATTGAGAGGCCATGTCATTCATCTTTAAGATATGTTCACGAACACCACTCAAACTATCATATTTCATTGTCATCATTTTAATCATGAGAGTACTAGTGAGGGATTTGGAAGTTCCAATGAATTGTTCTTCAATAGATTTCATATAGCCCATTGCACTTTCAGAAGCAAGGATTGCTCCTTAAATTGCAGGCGTAATTAAGCCTTTCATAATCATTAGACTTAAGCGATTAGAGCGTTCCCATTTTTCATATAAAGCCATGTGTTCCTTAGAACTTGTATCATTAGGCTTTGTAGGTGCTGACTCTCTTAATGCAAAGTCTAAATCCACAATTCCTTCCAATTTCTTCCTTCCATTTCTTAAAATTAGTTCCGCTCAAAACTTCAATACTAGACAAGTAACTATTAATTGCAGTATGATTCAATGCTGCAAACACATAATATCCATTACATAACTTAATATAATCAAGAAAATTACTTTTCACATATCATGAATAAAAATAACACCACAAGTTAAATATATCTAACTAGAAAATATAATTAGTTAGATACGAAATTAAGTTATCATTTCGTTGGGCCAAATAACAATATATTTTAGCAATTTCATAAAAGTAAATGAGATGACTAATAAAAATAAACAACATAAAATAAAATAATCATTAAGACCATAACGAATTTATCATCGTTGGGCAGAAAAACTTAATGTCTTATATTATTTTATTAACTAAAGCACGTGAGAAGTTTATCACCATTGGACAGAAAAACTTATTACTATATTTATTATACTAATCATCTCAATTTTTCAAACATACATAGTGTTGAATCTCCATTGGGTTGATCAGCAATGTTTCAACTCATAAGGTGTGTAACAAAACATTATAAGTACATAAGGTATTATCTTAATTACCACTTGTTCAATAATTTACAATTTTATATTTTAGTATCAATAGAATAAAAGATTGACAAAAAACAAAGATAAAACTCGACAAGTGTAAATCAAGGCTATGCACTAGTTATACAAAACATCATCATAAAATGAAATTCATACTTATACGTTTCATGCATCAGAATTGAGAACCAAAACTCTGACACCAATTGACAAAAAACTTTGCGGAACATAAACTAAAGCCGTTAAGGAATCAATTCTATACATAAAAACTATATGAATTTTTGCTGTACAAAATAAGTGTATATATACCTTGATCCATAATAGTATGAAAACCTCTTTCGAGAAAGAGAAACCTTGAATAGAAGACCTTGATCTTCAAGTTCTTTATTTGTCTAAGATCTTCAAACCACTTCTCTCTCTCTCTCTCTCTCTCTAGGCGATGGGAGCCTTCTTGTGATAACAACATGAGTTTTGTGTTAGAGAGTGTGGTTTAGAACCTTACACTATTTATACTAGTAATCTTCCCATCAGAGAATCCATTCATTCAATGAACCTCATTAGATAGATTAATATATCTTCTACATCCAAATAGATACATAATAGATACATAATGCATCTCTAAGATTCATTTATAATGAATCTATCACATTCTTTGCATTGACACTATTTCCATTAGTCTTCAATACATTATGTATATATAATTAGTTACCATCTAATTGATGTACATGTATCTAGCTTAATGAGATGAATTTAGTATAATCATGTACAAGCCATATTAAGCCATATTTAGAAAAAAATTCTTACATATACAACAAAACCCATCATGAAAATCTCAATTTCCCTTGATTTGTAGCCGATTATTTTTTAGTTAAATGCTTCTAAAAAAACGCCAATTATTTTTTGGATTAAATGCATCCCCCACCCCCAAAAGCTTTGCACTAGGCATAAGATGATTGATATCTGTATTGTTGTGATCTATATACCTTTCATATGTGCTGAAGCATTAATGGACTCATTTGAATCATTACCCTCAACGGTTTCCACACCAGGAAAAAAAAATCTTGTTCTTCATTTATTTATATTTACTTTTGTGTATGCAAAGCATTTAAAAATAAAAATACATATAAGAACAACACCTCTTGTATGGGAGCCACACAGCCTTGCCAAAAAGACAAAAAAAAAACTCCCTAGAACCCAAGAGGATAAGCACCCAAAAAACCAAAAAACCAAAAAGAAACCTCTCACATCCAAGAGGGATAGGAAAAAAAACACAATGAAAACTAAATAAACATCGCAACCACCATTGTTTTGCTTATTTGAGGCAATAAAAGAACAAGACTCTTAAAAAGAGTAAAATTAAGGGTGCTTACAAGCTTTGATTACCTCCAACAAGTCTTTAAAATTTTCACTTGAGCTTCCATTTGCTCCAACAGCCTCTATGGCATTTTGTTTGAGTACTTTGATGTTCTCCCTCATTTTCTTCCCTTCCTCTTGGGACAAAACAAGTTCCAAAGAACTCGTCGTTCCACTTTTTGTAAACACTCCACCCTCAACCCTAACCCCAATTCGCCACGTATCCTGTACCATACGACTATTCAATGTTTGATCTCCAAAGAACGGCCTACAAATCATTGGCACGCCCCCAGTGATACTCTCCAAGATAGAGTTCCACCCACAATGTGTCACAAACACACCAACCGATGGATGTGCCAAAACTTGTAATTGTGGAGCCCAGGAAACCACTTTCCCAAATGCCACCGTGTTTTCGACAAACCCTTTTGGAAATAGGTGTCTCGAGTGGTCCCTGAGTGACCAAAGGAACGGAACTTCACTAGAAACTAATGTTTCTGCCAATGCTAGAACCTCGTTAGGCGGTGGGGTGGTTATGGTGCCAAAGCTAATATATGCGACAGAAGCAGGTTTTTGGTTGTCTAACCACAACAGGCAGCCAGTCTCATCGGAGTCTGATGGGGCTGGTGATGATAGGATTGAGGGGCCCACTTGGAGCACTTTTTGCAACTTTGACTTCAGATCTTTCGCGGTGGCGGGCTCTAGCTCTTCGAAGGAGTTCAGCACCACTGCTGCAGCCTTTGGCAGCTTTAGTCCCATGTTATGAAGCATTTGAGCAATTGGTGATTCTAGGTTTCCGAGGATGATTCCATCTGGTAAGTCATCCACAGAGACCGCCGACAATCCTGGGATGAACTTGAGAGTTTTGTCTATATTTTCCAATATACCTGTTATTGCATAAATAAAACAAAAGCATAAGAAGAAGAAGAAAAAATATGCATAAATATTATTGTCACGGTTCAATGAAATTTTGGTGTGTTAGATACTAAAACAAGAGTGTGAATATCATTTCCTTTATGTCATTTATTTTGTTGTAAAAAAAATGAATTTTTTTTTTTTTTTTAAATTGTTCATGATAGAGTCCCAAATCCAAGGAAGCCAAAGATGTTACAAGTTGGCTAGAAAACCAACTAAAAGTAGAACACCAAAATGGGAAACAGAGCCCAAAACAGAGTCTACAAAAACAGAGCCCAAAACAGAGTTTGCAAGTTGGAATCAACATCACCTAATGAAACATTATCAGTCCAAAAATCCTCATTTCACAAAACCACCCATTCAAAGAGCATATTTCAAGTCCTTCAAATTCCTACAAAGAAATAGAGATCTACTTTAAATTTTCCCAACTCGGTCTCTCCCTTCTTAGGCATCATGAACAAAGATGTATAATAAATTGGTAGATCCCATAAAGTATATTTGATTAGTGATAATCTATCTCCAAATGATACATACCTAGATAGCTTTTTTTCTTAAAATTGTCAATGACAGATTGCTAGTTTGAATTATTCTAGGATTGTCTCCCAAAGGTAAAATAAGGTATTTGGTTGGCAAAGCTCCATATCAACATTTCAACAATTCTACAATCTCGAATACAAAAAGTTTCATCAGTACCTGTTCCACGGACATGACATTTTGAAATTAAATTTTCAAAAAACACCGAAGAAATGCTTTTAATCATCGATAGCTCATCAAGATCCGCATTACAGAATATGAGGGTATCATATGCAAAAATGCAAACGAGTTAAAAAGAAGCCACTTTGATTTTATGCGACTCCTTTAACAGCATATTAAGACCATCACCAATAATTTTTTATGAGAATGGAGATAATGGATCTCCTTGACTTAATCCTCTCTGAGTTATAAATACACCTAAAGGAGATTCCTTAATGTCGTGTTTGGTTGGGGGATTTGGAGAGGGATTTGGAAAAGAAAAGGGAAAAGGTATCTGAAACTAGGTGAAATGTAAGTATATTTTATTCACATTTCACCTAATTTTTCCTTTTCCCTTTCCAAATCTCTCCCCAAATCCTCCAACCAAACACAGCGTAATGGAAAAAATCGGTGAAAAGTCCATCCTAAAAAGTGTATAAGGTATTAGATTCAAGAAAAAAAAATCTTATTTTGTGATAAGAACACACTAGAAAATTGCCCGGGAAAGTAGTTGGCGACCAGAGTCGGCAGCAGCAGGTAGTGGTGGCGAGGTAAAGAAATATGTGATATTTAATAGATACAGTATTGAACGAGTGACATGTGTCACAATTCAACATATAGTTAGTTTGGTGAATTTCAACAGATGGACAAATAGAATGATTTCAAGAGATATATTGATTTCATTTCAACAGATAGTTGTCTTTTTGTACAAATTGTGTCATTTTAACCTAAAAAAATTAGAGCTTAAGCCTAATGACCCAAAAGATTTAAAAATGGACCTATGACCTAAGTTTCCATCATTAATAAGAACCAGTAGGATATGTATTTTTTGATCCAATCTGTTTGATAGAATCAACGCTCTTTTTGTGGAATCGATATCATTTCTCTCCAAAACCCTTGTCTTTGATCAGTCTAAGCAAATACTCTGAGCTAACACAATCATAAGCCTTCCTAAAATCTATTTTTAAAAAATATTATTTATTTATTTTTATTTTTTTTTTGAAGGAAAGAACATCAACCACAGAAATTACATCAAATTACACAATTATTGTTTCTTCCAATAAACCCTATGTTCCCTAATGGTGCTGTCAAGTGGGTCCTCACCGTGAGGGGAACATTAACAAGTAGGTGAGGACCCTAATGCTTTTCTTGCTCAAATGTGTAGGTATGCTCACCAATCTCTAGACTCTTTATAGGATCTAATTCTAGAGGTTATCCCTATATGGTTAGGCGTTTTATGTTGATTAATGCCTCGAAAAAACTTCAATCCTATTCATTTGAGAGATGCTAGAGAGCTCTAAATCTAGAGCTCTAATTTGAGCTCTAGTGATGTGTCCAAGCAATAAAAAAAAAAAAAAAAAAAACAAGGCAAGGCACAAACATCACATCAGAGTGGGTCCCACATTCCCATTAGAGCTATTAGAGCTCTTATATTAGAGCTCTAAAGCATTTTTGCTATTCATTTAAGTGGTCGTTGCATCAGCTTTCGCTACTTCATAAATAGGAGGCTATTTGGAAACTCTTAAAAACTCACCTCATTTTCCAAATTTTTTACTTCTAGTGATATTTTTTAAAAATTATGTAATTTTTTTTCCTGATCCATCTTTTGTAGACAAATAAAAAAATTAAAAAATAAAATCAAAAATTAAAATAAAATAAAAATAAATATAAAAAAAGCAAAATAAACTAAAAAAATCTACTATTTTTTTGTTTATTTTGATATTTTCTATATTTTTTGTGGATTTTTTTTTTAATTTTTCCGTTAATCTCGATGAGCTAAATCTAGAAGTCAAAAGCTTTTTGAAATTCTTTTAACAAAATTCAAACGAAAATAAGCTAAAGAAAAACGGCTCCACATAAGCAAACCCATAATCTACTTAACATCAGTTCTTCTATTTCCTCTACATTGTGTTTGATTCATGAATTTAGATAGAAATAATATATATGTATATATATAGTGTTTATCCTTAAAAATTCTCTCCTATGTGGTGCATCTCTCTTTTCTTTTTTCTTTTTTCTTTTTTCTTTTTTTTTTTTTTAAAGTGTCATGCAACATATCCTTATAATAATAATAATTTAAATCTTATGAAGCACGGACACGGGACACGACACGGACACGCGGACACGCAAATTTTCAAAAAATGGGAGACGCGACAAGCTGGGGACACGTTCAATATATATAATTAATTTTATTTATTATATGTCATACAATTATAAAAAAAAAAATCATTAAAAGGTAATAAAATATACAAAATAATACTATTAAAATTATAAAAAATAAACATTTAATTGATTACAAAAATTACATTGTAATTGGCAATTTCCTCCTCCTTCCCTTGGTTTTGCTAATTTAGTTATATACTTCCACAATGGCTTGTTCTCATCAAAATCATCATCAGGTATATCCAAGGTTCTGAAAAGCGGTTGCGGTCGCCGTAACGGTGGCGGTAACGCGGTTGCGGTTGCGGGGTGTAAAGGCCGTAGTGTAACGGTTGCGGTAACCGGAACCGTGAATTTTTTTATTTTTTGCACAATTTGAAAAAAACTTACCGATACGCATATTTTTTTTCCATGATCATATTTATTGGGTTTAAAATAAATATTGATTAATTTTTGTAAATTTTTAAGTATGATCCAATATATTTCATATTTTTAAATCACTATAAACTGAGTTTTTTACATTTTATTTTAATAATTAATGACTTTATATTATACAAAAAAATCAATCACTAAATGTTATATATAAGATAAACAATGACAAAAATAAAAGAATAAATAAGAGCCTAAATATATATATATATATTTACATATTTTAACCAAGCCAAATAGATAATGATCACACTTATTATTATTATTATTATTTTCAAACAATATATAGATAAACACACACAAATAAAATAGCTTAGTGATAGCAGTTGAATAGAATAGCATAGGTCTTACAGTTTCAACAAATCAATAACATGTTCTTCATCTTCCTTCTTCTCTCTCTCTATCTCTTGTTCCTCAATTTTCTCTCTTTATCTTCCCTCTTCTCTCTATCCCTCTTCCCCCATTTTCAGCTTTTTTTTGTATGTTTTTTCGAAAGAAACAGTTTGGAACCGTTACGTAACGGTGCGTAACAGGCCGTTACGGCTGTTACGGCACCCGTTACGGCCAACACACCTGTGAATCTCAATCACATTGCAAAAGCGGCCGTAACGGGTGGCGGTAACTGTCAAAACCGTTACGTAACGGCGTTACGTAACGGTTGCGGCCGCTTTTTCAAACCTTGCTCTTTATCTTCCCTCTTCTCTCTATCCCTCTTCCCCTATTTTCAGCTTTTTTTGTATGTTTTTTCGAAAGAAACAGTTTGGAACCGTTACGTAACGGTGCGTAACAGGCCGTTACGGCTGTTATGGCACCGTTACGACTACTACGGCAGCCGTTACGGCCAACACACCTGTGAATCTCAATCACATCGCAAAAGCGGCCGTAACGGGTGGTGGTAACCGTCAAAACCGTTACGTAACGGCGTTACGTAACGGTTGCGGCCGCTTTTTAAAACCTCATCATTAGAACTACCAACCGTAGCCATTGTTTCAGAATTAAAAATTGGTTCCTATAATAAAATTAATAAACATACATTATTAAAATTATATACTCAAATAATAGAAAAGAAAAAATAAAATCAGAATATAAAAGAAAAAATAAAAGAAAAGAAAAGAAAAAATAAAATCAGAATAAAAGAAAAAATAAAAGAAAAGAAAAGGTAAAATAAAATCAAAAAACAGAGGCTGAGAGAGAAACAGAGAGACAACAACTGAGGAAAGAAGATCAGACAGAGGCTGAGAGACAGAGAGAGAGAGAGAGTGCGACTGAGGAAAAGAAAAAGAAGAATGAAGATCGAAGAAGAAGAAGAAGAATGAAGATCGAAGAAGAAAAGCAGCGTGTACCTTAACGAGCAACGACGAGACACGAGTGACGACCGACGAGGAGCGACGACCGACAAGAAGCGAAGACGAACGATGAACGACGAATCAACCAGGTCCTCTTTTTCTCACCCTTTCTCTGTTGTTTCTGTTCGAATTGAAGTAGATTAGGGCAGATGTTGATCTGTTTTTACTTATATACAAATCAACCCCAAATTCTTTTTGTAAATTGTGAAATTACCCCCGAGCGCGTCCCGAAAGTGTCTATAACGTGTCTGGAACGTGTCCGAATGTAAAAAAATTAAAAAATAAAATAAAATAAAAAATTGGACACTCTCTGCTGCGTGTCAGACACGTGTCCACCGCGTGTCTGACGAGTGTCCGTGTCCGACACTAGTACGGAGCCCTCGGAGAGGTGTCCGTGCTTCATAGTTTAAATCTACTATTTAAAGGACTTCTAATTAATCTAAACTACCCATAAATAAAGTTAATCTACTACTATTATAAAAGTATGAACAGCTTGCCATATCTTCTTCTTTTTTTTTTTAAATCTCAATTTTACCCTTTTAAATCTATTATATTTTCTAAAAGTCATGAAGAGTCCTATATAAACCGTCTCTTTATTTTTAGAGTTGAACACTCAAAAATGATATATCTTCTTTCAAGAGTCCTATATAAATATAAAAAAATCGTCTCCTTTCTTATATATAAATAATAATTAATAAAAAATAAAAACGTTGTTCCTCTATTTTTTACATTGATGATGATTGAACAAAAAATAATTACTCTTTTTTTTTTTTATTTCCTGTGTCTAATTCTATGATGATATACAAAATATTTACAATTGTCCATCATGGATCATATCACTATGAATAATTTTGGTTGAATTTTAAAGCTGTATACATTTGTTTGAATTTAAACAGAGGAAAGTGCATGCGTTTTTAAAATAACGATTTGTGTTACATCTCAAAAATTCGCATTTTATCTTCATACACTTTCTTTTTGTTTAAATCATATTCTATGAATTTTAATATTTTACATGGTACTTTAATAACCGATAGATGATGGCAAAATTCTAAACAAGAACCACTTTCATTGGTTTATTTTCTAATTTGTTATTCAATTTTTTATTTTTCATATTTTCTCAGTTTTGGTGATTAAAGATAGTGAAATTTTATTCATATTTTATATTTAAATTATACTTTTATATGAAAATCTAATATCTAATAATCTAAATAGAATTAAAAAAATAAAATATTGATAAAAAAAATTACAAATTCAAATATATACTGATTTTTTATTATTATATTTTGTTGTTATTATTATTATTTAATATTAATAATTTTTTCCAAAAAGAATACACAACAAATTATTTTCTAAGTGTATTTAGATAAAATAAAAAAGTATTAAATTAAATGAATCTAAAAATAAAATAAAAGGGTTATTAAAAAAAGTGTCAGACAAAAAAACATGAAAATAAAAAAATTCAAAACAAAAGTTTGAAAAATAAACCAAACCAAACCAAACACTATAAACTTTTATTTTTTAAATATTTCTTCACTAATCTCTAATTTTAAACAAATTATTCACAAATTCCTTTCAATTTTTATGTGAATTTAATAATCTAATTACAAAATAGTGCATACACACAAGAATGTAACACTAAATATCTACATTATGATCAACTATTTAATTATGAATAATTAATTTCTCGTTATTTCCTGTATTATATTGTTGCAAAAGATTTCACATATTATTTTTGTGATATCTTATATATGTCAATATCTACATAAATAAAAATAAAAAATATATATATAAATGTAAATTTATATATGTTACTGTATTCATATATTGTCAATTTGTAATGTTATATTACTATTAGATATTTTAACTTTCTAACATTTATTGCTTTAGTAACATTGTTAAATTTGCTAGGAAAAAAAATTGCGGAATTGTGTATTGTTCTCCTATTAACTTATATTCGATACATATATATATATACATGTCATACAAATAAGTGTCCACAACAAACGCTTTCAATAACAAATCAAAACTTTATAAAGCACTTACATCATGACAATAATTGTCCTTTTTATGTTTATCTTTTTCACAACAATTGTATAGCAATTGTATACTAATAACTAATATTATATTTTTCATCATACAAGATATTTGTGGCACAGGAAACGAGACTCAATAATTCTTAATGTATAAAAATATATTACATATTGATATTAATGCATTTTTACACCAATAGTGTGCAAATAATATGCAATAGTGGGTTTAATGAATTTGTATTATAATATGAACTATTAAACAAAATTGTGCAATTGTGCAATTATTTTCATACTTTTAATTATATTACATGTACAGATTGTGAAAAATTGATAGTGAGAAGCTAATAGAAAAAAAAATATATGAAATACTATATATTTAAAGGACATGTTTATTGTTTATTATTTAAGATAAGATTGCGATCTCAACAATCTAGTTATAAATTAATATTTATGTTTATAAAATTTCTTATATATTATTTAAATTCTTCTACCGAGTATTTATTAATTTCTTACCAAGTTGTATTTTGAATACAGATCAATTTATCCATACAAGTCTCCATACTTTGTATACATATCACATTCTAATTTAATAAATACACATAATTACAGTACTAACAGTCGATACAAAATCACATGTCACGTGCAATGCACGTGCCCAACCATTAGTAGAATTATATGTACAAAAAAATACTTTATGAAAATTTTCTCTCTCCTATGTCACGTCTCTCTTTTCTTCTTCTTCTTCTTCTTTTTTTTTTTTTTTTTTAAGTGTATAATAATAATTTCGAAAATCCACTATTTAAAAGATTTCTAATTAATCTAAACTATCCATAAATAAAAGTTAATAGAATTATATATACAAAAAAATACTTTACGAATTAATTTTCTTCTGTTTTTCTCACTTTTATTCAAGTATTTAAATTTTATATTAAAATTAAATATACTTCTTATGTTTTTTGTCTACCTTATTCATATTTTATTATTAATTTATATTGAGTTTCCAATTTAACATGAAGTCGCTTTTAGAAAAGATTCATAGCATTTCTGGTTTAGACCCGACCCATTTTGTATTTTGGGCTTGGGTTTCATAGTCTCGTATGGTTGTTCATGTCTTTTCCCTCTTATTCGTCCTTAAATTTGGTTATTGGATTGTATTGGTCTTGTTTAGAACAAGTTGGCTGCTTGATTTTTCAAACCTTTGTTACCTAGATTTTTGCTCCTCCGCTCGAGTGGCACTTCTTGCGCTCAAACAGGCTTTGCAAACTCTCAGTATTTTTGCAGACCTGCAAAATACTGGAAAAGTATATTCTACGCTCGAGTGGCGTTTTTTACGCTCGAGCAGGTGGGCGATCGAACAGCCAATCTTGAGCTTGAACGTGATGTCCTTCGTCTGCATAACTTCTGAAAGTGTGTATCCTGCGCTCGAGCGAACTGCGTGTATATCAGTTTGTGAAGACAACTTTTTACTTCACTTTTTCATTCATCTCTCTCTCTCTAAAACTTTCCAAAAACATAGATCTTGAGTCTCTCTCTCAAAAACTCGCCTTCTCTCTACAT